AGTGCACAATTTTCTACCATGGAGGTTTTTCTTTATTGTTTGTTTGTTGTTGTTTTTTAATAAAGCTTCCAACTTTGAAAACACAAGTCAGAACTCTTCTGCATTTGTGTTCTGTTCTTGTCTGGCTGAGATTTCTTTCAGTTTTACAGTTTGGTCCAGATTATCATGGTTTAATGTACCAAGCACAGTACATGCTACACAACTACTCACTGCAAGTTTTCGAAGTCTGCTTTTCAAAAAGCAGATACAACACTGTCACCTTCATTAAAGGTTGATGTCAAAGCCTCACTACTGCTGTTAAAGGATTTCTAGAAATGAGAACAGAGAAGTCAGATTTATGGCCAAGAGATAAGCAGTGAGCTCTGTAAAACATACATGTTACAGTAAGACTTTTCTTATAGCAAATAAAAGTAATCAAGAAACGTAATTTTCAATTGTTTTTAAAATATTTCTTTCTAGGTTTCAGAAGTGCTAACAATTCCAGCAATAAAACTTTCAAAGTGCCCTGGCTGTGCCTATCTTTTAGTCTTTTCCAAATGGTATTAAAACAGGTAAGAAACCTACTCCTCTGATCAAGAGTTATCAGTTTAGCATTATGCTATTGGCAAGTCAGATCCTGAAATATTATGAATATTCAATAGTTGCAATCAATTTATTCATGACCATATAAAAAAAGCAGTTACACGACTGCACTGTCAGATCTATATGATACATCAAGTAAGACTGCAAAAATAAAAGGCAAAAAAGGAAAAAGGCCTCAAGTCTCCTTTTCTTGTTGCTTGTTTTCTTTTACTTATTGTCTCACAGAAAAAAAATATAGCAAAGGCTTAATCTTAAATACAAAGTTACAATCTGCAAATCAGGTCCTCTAATCCAGACTGATGGTACACTTTGTTTCAACTGAACCACCCATTACAAACTTGCAATGCCACCACCCATTCACGCCCTGAAGCGTTCCTCGGTTCCTGTCCACCCAAACAACTATTCACGCCTTATTTTAAGCAGAATAACAGAAAAAGTTATTTGTGGTTTTGAAACAGTTGGTCTGAATTCTTCAATACCACCCTTAAAACTCAGGAAGACAAATTTAAGGATATCTCAACTCAACTCTCAAAATATTTTTTACGAAGGAGGAAAAAAAGGCAGGAATATGGAAGTACAGGTGGTGTTAAAACACCACTTGAAAATGGACTTGGTAAAGAGTCTACACTGGAAACACTTACCTTGTCAAAGTATTAAAATGATCATCTCAAGACAATTCAGAGACACTTAGAATTGTGGAAAAACAAACACGCAAACTAGACTGTTGTAGATCGCTGAAATACCTAATCTAAAGGCAGTGCAAAACGATGGCTGGTGAGGGGGGCAACCAGTCATCCTGCAAAGTGAGAGACTTCAAATCACTCATCGCTGACCTCCTTAATAATCTGCATTTAAGGACCTGATGAACAGCAATGAAATTTTTGTCATGCAATTACAACTGTTATCCAAACAATATGCAACTCAAGAGTGATACTGTCATCCATGGCGGATTATTACTTTAATAATCCATTAAAGAATAAGGTCAAAGGGGAAAGTGGTAAACATCAGTTGCCATAAGTGAAAACACTTCAAAAATTTACAATTAAATAAAAAGTTAGATGATATCTTATAAAAAGAAGTACTGAACACAACAAAGCCACAATAAATTAGTGTTTCCATAAAATGACATGCTGAAGGTTTTGTTCCCAAGTCTATACATTTTTTTACTGTCTGTTAATTCCTAAATATTGACAGCATAATTGAATAATTGAGGTACAGTAGTTTACATTTGTATATGTCTTGTAAAAAGGTTAATTTTTTTCTTCCAGTTTTTCTTCCTCATCGCCAAAGAACAACAAAGGAAACATTCCTAAAATGCAGCCAATGGTCACTCCAATAGCTTTACCCTAGAGAAAGGGGGAAAGAATTAGGTTTCTCACGGATCAGTTGTTACTGTTTAGTGTGCAGTACCAACACAACCAGGAAATCAGACCCTTTGTTCTAGCTTTTGGTTGAGAGCCATGTCTTTCTTAGCATGCAGACTAGAAATACAATCTATGAGAGACAGACAGGTATAACACAGTTAGAAACAGCATGTGTTCTGATAAAAAACTATTCTAAATAAAGAGGAGGGGAATGACCCATGAGGAGCTGCACAGGTGGCAAGGCAGGAGACAGATTCAAAGGATTAGTAGGATGGCCAGGAAGACAGGGAATTAAAAAAAAAAAAACAAACCACAAAAAAATCCCCCACATTTTAGGTGCAATTATAAATGTATCTGCTTATGCAAATTATCAAAGTCATCAAAAGTGATCAAAATCAAAAATGAGGAATTCCTTGCAAACATGTCTTGCAAAGGCACAAGACAAAGACAAAACAAACAAACAAAAAGACAGGAAAACATTTCAATTGACCTGGATGTAAAAGTCAACAGGAAAGGAAAAAAATAAGAAAGGCAACATTCAAACCACATCACCAGCAATAGGTGCTTAGTATTGAGAACCTTGAGACAGCAAGTAAAAACGAGAAAATGCTAGCACAGAGGTTGAGATGCTCAGAAGTCTTTTCACAGACAAGCACTGTGAATGAACTGCAGTCCAATGACAGCCACAAACTCTGCTTCCACTGAGAAAACTCTTACGTTGGACAGACTAAAGGGCAGCCCACTGACAACATGCCAGTTCTTCCCAGCAAAATGCTTTCATCACTGCTAAAAGCACACCTTCTCCCCCCAAGCTTTTCCTCAGCAAGTGTTATTTCTCTTCCCTTCAATCTGCAAAGATATTTTTTCCCCATGAACGTTCATTCTGGCAAAGTGAAAGAAATATGTTTCTTTACTCAGTTTCTTCTAATCTGTGTCTTTAATCAAAATAACTAATCCTCTCATTGCCAAAGTGTGACTGCTTCAGATGTTTAAGTGTTAATTAAGTAATCACTCTGAAAATGAATCTGCAAGATGAGTGTCCTGTAACTGTAAACCCGAGCAGTGAATATTACTCAAATGCTAAAAGTTTACCCAGGGGAAAGCTAGTTTCATATCCAAGCCAATTACAGAATATTAGAAACTAATACACAGTAGCACAGGTATATGAATAACAAGCACTTGACAAAGAATGTATAGGGAGTAAACTACTAAGGGGTCATAATTTTCAAATAAACTATCTTATCACAGTAGCCAGAGTTCAACCCAGGTACCTGCACAGCACACAAGAAGTCACTGCGGGGACTACCCATGTTACTAGTCACTCATGGCTTGCTGCACACAAAAAACCACCCAAGCCCGAAACAATCCAGTCCCATGATTCTCCCTGAACATAGGCTCACAATCCAACCTTTCCAGGAAATATGCAAACTGTTGGTGGCCATTAAGCATTTCATGCCAAACGTGACGAAAAGGATTTATCACATACTAAACAAAAAAGCCCCACACAAACGGTGCCTACCTGTAGGATACTCACCAAGTGTGCACTGAGACGCGTTTGCCACATATCAGCTTGTTTGGGCGTCAGATCAGGGATTGACAGACCCAGCCGTGAAGCTAAAGCTTCTACATAACCTGCAAGACTGGAAGGGGAAAAGAACAAACAATTTTGGATCTGGCAGTATCTTCTAGTGGGGATTTTGAAACATTTGAAGCACTTAACTTCAAATGAACAGCTTTTCCTTCAGCATATTGATAAAGCCATTGAGAGGTAAATATGGGAAAGTGTTCAGACTTCTGAAGGTCACATTTTGCAATGTAAGTTAACTAAGTTTCCCACGGATTTAATATGCAGTATTTCCAGAAAAAAACATCTGCACACAGCTAGCGTGAACGCTATCGTATTTTAGCACGGCTTGTAAATAACCTTTACTAGAGGAAATGTTCCACACTCGCACACTAGTTAGTAATAAGCTTTGATATTTGTAGAAAAAAAATGGGAAAAAGAGGCACAACAGACAGCTTTACTTTCAGCAATAAGTCAGAAATTTCCTTAAAAAAAAAGTTAGCTGCATCTGCTTATGTCAGAAATATATCTGTTGCTTATGAGCAACATTTCAGATACAGAAAAATTTCTATATCTGTGGAGAAGGAAATGGCTTCTAATCCAGGCATATATGAAGAGGAATATTCTATCACGACAATATATTATATGACAAAAAAATTTATTTTTTGAAACTGTTCACAGCAGTAGCCATGCTGGTTCAGAGGAAAGACCCCCTAGTTTAGCACCCCAACTCTGACAACGTCAGAGAGCAAGTGCTTACAGGAACTGTACAAGCAGACAAGCACAGAATGAATCCTCCTGCAATATGTCCTCCCAGTTTCTACAGCTTGAGGAAAGTTATAGCCACTGTTCCGTGGTTTTCTCGAAAAGGTGTTGGAATAGAGATACCCAAATTGAGTTTCTTTTATCTGAACATAGGTTTACAACTTCTATCGAAAGACATTTAACACATCTTGAGCTTCAACTCATTGTCTTTAGAGCCAAGCTTTCAGATGTTCTGCTCAGCCTCTCCTTGACATATGCACAAAAATACATGGCCCACAATTTCAACAAATGTACTTTTTTTGTGACAAAAATTCTACTAATTCCTTAAAATCATGCAGTACCTACATAATACATTGAATCAGGTTAAATGCTAATCTCAATTTTATCACTTAAAATATATAATACTGTAATAACAGCAGACTTTCAAAACTATAGCACTTCAGTTTTAACCTTGACAAGAACCCCCTAACATTCCAACTTTTTCTTAACAAGACAGAACACATTTCTACAATCACGATGTAATTTACTAAAGCAAAATTCAAGAACTAGGGAAAAAAATAAAAGCCATTTCAGCAGCTTATATGTTTTAGTTCAGTAGCACCAATAGTGTTTGCAAGATAGGAAAAAAATAAATACATTCTCAAAACAAGTTCAGACATACCCCAGTCCAGCTAAATCTGAAACAAGGTTTCCCAAAGCAGCAGCTGGAGGCATGGAGAGGAAAAAGAAGAGAGGAAGAAGGCAAAGTATTATTTCAATTACAAACAAAAACAACCAGGTCCCCTTCCTCCCCCCTCAGTGACACTCACTCTTCTCCATATATACTGCATAAAAGACAAGAAACCAATTTCTTTTATATTAGAGCTTTTCTTCTGACCTTATTATAGCTTGTAGTAACAGCAGCAGACTAAGAATAACAGGAAGCACAATATTTTTCTCAACTTACACAAAGAAAACTTGACAAATACAAAAAGACAACATTGTCAGCTGGAAATCAATGTAGCAGCTTCAAAAATGCGAGTTAAAAACGGCCACACATAGTTTCACACAGCTAATGCTGGACACCAAGCACGGCATTCCAGTGCCTGAAGAGTCCCAGGAGCACTGGAAAGGAGCTGTCATGTACGTAGCTTTGATAAACATTTCCACGTATCTATGACCTGTGTCAGTTTAGGAATAAATTCTGTACGTATGACTGAATAAAGTTACACACTTAAAATACAACAGACCTGACTGAGATAAGCTTGTTTCTGACTGTCTTGCATTACAATGCAGGGCTGCAAATTTCCAAATGATTAATTTGTTCTGCCATGTAAATTTTCGTCTAAGCTATCCGCGTGCTTTCAAGCAACGCTACATCTGCAGTTGGTGGATCCATGAGCAGTTTTTCTTCCCTTTGACACGGCCGAGGCACCAAAGCTGTTGAGTAGAGCTTATCAGTTTTGGCCCAGTGCAGAAGCAGAGTGGCTGCTGGGCCTTCCCATGGTATCACACGGAGGCAGAGAAGCCACCAAGAACACCGGCCAACACGGTAAAAAGACACCAACACTGATCTTCACTTAGCACTGCAAGCAAACAGCAACTTACAAATACATATATATACACACACACACATAAATACCAGACCCTAGGGAATTTAGAGCAGTTCCATTACAGAAATGCAAATACACCTTCCTAAGTGACTCAGGTTTTGAACTTTTAGATTAAAGCCAACAAGCATTTCAGAAGCCATTTCAACTGAAATTCCATTTCTGAAAATGGAGTATGTCCTTGCTTCAATCATAGCTTGTTTCTTTATTAGGAAAAGCAGCTGCAAGACCAAGGAAGAGCCACTTCCAGCCCTGTGGACCACTTTCAGTCTACAGTACAGTATGTGCCATATTAGTCTATACATAGTACATTTCTATTACTTGCCTGCCATAGTTGAAATTCCTAGGACAACTCCAATTGACAATTCTATCTGGGTTCCCTGAAAAATAAGAATTTTCTCATTACTTGAGGGACTTGGAGTTAAAACAGATTACATTGATTCAACTGGCAAAAGCATTGCTTACTGCTTGTTTATGTTAAAATTGAAAGGATAAATGGACATTACTTCTACTATATCTGCACAGCTCCTATCCTCCTGGCATACTACTTTCCCCTCAGACAAGAGCCTACTTCTGATATTCTTTTAATATTTTATATTGCTTCATAATGGCCACCTAATGGACAAAATCATAGTCCCTAATTTCTGCATACTACTTTCCCCACTGTTATTCTTAGCTGAATGTACAGCTCTGAATGGAAACTTCTACAAATACTGAGCAAACAAAACACAGTATTTTAGCTCCTTTTCAGTTGAAGAAACATGAAGTCACACTGAAGTGCATGATGAAAGAGCAGTGAGTGCCTCAAGGATGAGAGACAACAGGCATGAAATCAAAACAAGACACGTTCTAGTTGTAAGAAAATGTTTTGCACTGTGAGGACAGTCAAGCATTGGAACAGGTTGTCCAGGCAGGTTGTGTAGTCTCTACCCTTGAAGCTTTTCAGTAACTGCAGAATAAAATCATGAACAACCTTACAGCTGACCCTGCTTTGAGCAGGAGGTTAGACTAGAGACCCTGAGCTCCTGAGCAGGAGCAAGACTAGAGACCTAGTGGGTCCTGTGGTCTGTTTCCACCTGAATTATCCCATAATTAAGATCATACTGTCAATGATAATACTACACAAGCAACAGTATCTTTGGCCTTTAGCCATTTTCCTCTTCCACTAGCCCATTTTATCTTCCAAATGAGCAGGAAAACGTTTTAAGAGTTACTCAGAAATGCCAGTCTACATCAGTACAAACCAGCATCAGCAGTAACACTGCCTGCATCACTCAGAACAAAGAAACGCATTAGTAAAAGCCCCAAAGACCTATTCATCAACACATTACAATCACATTATCGTCAGTTGGTACAAAAAAATATACTGCCTACATATCATAAATCTGTCTTGCAGCACAAATTAGGAGAAAAAAACCCCATGCCTCTTTCAATTCAATAAAATTAGTTACAATACTGGCCTTCAGAAGGAACACCATTCCTTTGCATTCTGCAAAGGTTCAATAGAGCATGGACACCTTCTTTGAAAAAAAAAATTAAAATAGAAATTAGTGAGTTGATACAGAGGGAACAGAGTCTTCCTGAAGCTCTCATTTACTACTTGAACAATATGAATCACGCTGACTTGATCAAGTAATTAAATAATTAACTTACCGCAGCAATCATAATTGCGTTATCCAGAAATCCAAACCCTACAAAAGGTAATGCATTGTGGAAGAACACTAAAAGAAATAAGTAACAAAGAGAAAATAAATGTTTGTAAGAGAGTTCACTAGTTCACATGAACAACTGAAATGTCAGTCTAATACTGTCTTTAAGAGAAACAAAAACAATATACACAAAATCCCCTTCCTACTACTTCTACTGGTGATCTTTTTATTTCTGTCAGGTTTGATAAAACCCTTTGCTACACATAAGGTGTTACTAATGGCTCGCGAAGAACCAAGGTGGTGGTGAAGCACTCGAACAGTTTTCCCAGAGAAGCTGTGGATGCCCCATCCCCGGAAGTGTTCAAGGCCAGGTTGCATGAGGCTTTGGGCAACCTGGTGTAGTGGAGGGTTTCCCTGCCCATGGCAGGGGGGTTGGAACTAGGTCATCTTTAAGGTTCCTTCCAACTCAAACCATTATATGATTCTATGAACCAGTTAAACCAACTTATTCTCTGTGAATACTTGTACAATTTTGGATGAAAGCCAATTATACCTACTAGCGCATAAGAGAAATATTTAAAACTATACAAACTTTGATACTATTTACAGTCCTTCCAACTGATGTCGCAGTATCACTGAAGATTGCCAAACTGTCTCACCAGATTCTCTGCATTCTTCTCTTGCTTGAAATACAGCCCTTTTCTCTGCAAGTCCCTCTCTATTCTTGTGCAAGAGTTCCATCTTCTTTGCACAGTCCTAAAAATCCGTATTTTAGGCGTATTGCCTGAAGACAGGCAGCTCTCATCAAAACTCCTTCAGCTACATCTGCAAAAGCTAAGATGGTTTTAACCAGTGTGTCATACGGCATTAATAATCGCACTACTCAATCCAAGCTGCTCAATGTATTAAGAAATCAAGTTTCACCTTTTTTCTTTTCATTCCTGAAACTCCTGGTAAATCCTATTTGAAAATATTTTATATTGTCCTGTTCCATTTTTGCTCTCAAGTTTTAGCTTGTAAGCTTCTGATGGAGCTTCTGATTGGATTTGCACAGCATTGCCTCCAGCTGAGTCTCAAGGTGCTTCAAGCATCGTAAGATTAAACACAGCATCGAGGACAGACTACTTGACTAAAAATAGAGCTTGAAAGTTAGTCCTTTTCACTTTTTTTAACATTTAAAATGCATCAGCTATTTAGGGTTTTTCCCCACTCCAGATGGGAACAATAATTCTTACATTTTATAAACTTAAATATTCAAACATATGAAGAGGGAAGAAGGAAGAGTGCATGAACCTCACAGTCACGTGAAAAGAAACCAGTATAAGTCCCTTTTGGATTTACTTCTCGCAGACAGCATGAATCCATGATCATATAAAAAACAAAGCCACACAAGAGATCTTTCATGCTCAGGTACTAGAACACATTTGGACTTCTGTAATGATTTTGTAAGAACACACATACCTTCTTAAATGTACAAGACTAAAGGACAGAATATATGAAATTTTCCAAATTATTGGTTTTTAAACTACCACAGGACAAAACCCCCAAAAACATAAATAACCAAAAAGCACACAGATACACCCAGGATTTACAAAACACGTGCAGCAAACTCTGGAGCTACAAAGTGGGCTCAAATTCTTACCAAAATTGACAGAATTTTGGAATCCATGGAGTAAACAGAACCCCAGAGACCAAGGAAAAAAAAAACAAAACCAAACAAAACAAAGAGAAATAAGTGTAGAAATCTAGAATAGGAAAGTGTTCAACTAAATACATTTGCTCACTGAGAGAGTATAAAACCACAAAAATGCACTGATTTGTAAACTGAATCAGAATTTGAATGACCATAATATTATAAAGAAGATAAATCTTGTCCCACTTGTCGGTCCATTTAAAACACATGCGACAAGCAGCAAGTCCATAGTTTTAAACACAAAAACCTCCGTAAGGTACCGCAGCAACATCCCTTGGCTTAGGAAAAACGACGTTTGCTGCCGGCTTTGAACAGCGTGCTCTCATCTGGGCCTCCTGTCCTACTTTCACTAAGAGGTGCCCATTCTGCAGCTGAGGTGTTACGAAATAAAGGCAGCAGGGCCACTGTCAGTGCGTGCTTCGGTTTTCTGTTACTCCATCCGACAGGGATGAGGACAGACCAGCACTTGTAGGTGAAAGATGAAGCAATTCAAAGACAGACTGCACAAATACTGAGCAACATTCAACAAACATTCTTCTTTTACCATGTTTCAGTTGTCCTGGAGATGGTGGTGCAACCTCCAACTTCTCTAGAGAAGTCAAAATGAAATGAGAAAGTTAGCTAGTTCATCACAAATTCAGTTTATTGTATTATAAAGCGATTATCAAATTACGAGCAGGCAAAAATGCAGTTACATTATGTAACAGCTTTAAAATTTGAAGAAAAATGCTTCGCATCTACATTTTAATTATTTTTACAAAAGATAAGATATTAAAAGCCAAAAAGTCTTAGAACGATATTACAAGACTAAACTAGTATAAGTGATTATGCAAAGTAACAGCATACACTAGAAGCAGCCCAACAGCCATCTTTAGTACTGCAAATTAGAAAAACACACTAAAATTAGAAAAAACAGGACATCTAAAGACAATTGCATTTTATTATTCATTTTTAGAGGTCTTCTAAGCATGCAGCAGACAACCTTCCTTCCTCCAGAGACGGTCTGCAAAAAACCCCCTATCGCTTCTGTTCTGACAGAAAGCACTTTTTAATAGCTAATATGAAAACAAAAGAAAAATACTACGATGGCATTAGAGACCACTGACTTCGGTATGAGCAGATCAAGTTTGGTCATTTGGTGCATGTTTCAGGTATTCTGGCATCAAATCATTAAGAGCTTGAAAGGACCAAGATGTCACTCTTAAGCCTGACAAGAATACTCTTATATAAGAAGCTAAGGTGATGCACAAAACTCAGCAGCAACAGCTACCCATTTCACAGGGGCAAGGGAAAGAAAACAAGCTACTTTTTTAGGGTTTTTCTTTTTTTTTTAAAACATAGATTTTGAGCATAAGACCCCTTTTTAAAGCAGAAGAAAAGAGTTGCCCCAACATCTTACAGTATCATGAACCCTGAGCTTTTGACAAGTTGGTTCCATGCTTTTTGTTAGGTAATTTCTACACACAAACATAAAAAATGGTAAAACATTACAGGAGCCTACAATGCTACCTCAAGTATTCAAATTTTACCTGGGGCAGCCAAGTACATGAAAAGGCAACACTGTAAACAGAAGCTGTGAATTATCTGAGCACATGTCTGAACTGTGCAGACTAGAGTGAGCATCCCTGCATCCAAGTCACCCCTATATTCAAGGCTATTGCAGGAGAAACTAAAATATTCACTTAAATTAAGTTTGGGGAAAAAAAATGGTTAGAACATAATACCAGTATTCAGCCAACCAGTACATGGACTTCCAAAATAATTTCATTAATTTAAGGTCTTAAACTGTAACAACCTTCAGGCTTTAGCAGTGATTGAAGAGCTGCTTGTCCCCTCTGCTCAATAGATTAACTACCTCAGCTCTACAAACACTGGTTGTAATCACCATGCCAGTTGGAGAAGCACAGCCCAAGTATTACAGAAATACATACAGGTATTTCCCACACCCCCCCCCACTCCGAAAATGCCAAGGAATTCATAGATTCAAACCTCGGGCTGGAGGAGGAACAGAAGAACATCTCATGGCAAAAAGAAGGGAGCCCTGCAAGAGCAAATCTTCCACAGCTATCACTGGTGCCCCACAGTCAGAAAAAAGTCAGACCAAAATATCCAGCTTGTGTTCAGGAAGGATGGGACCGGTGATGGGACCCATTTCCCCCAGCACAAGCTACTTGTGCGCTTGTCTGCACGTGGTCTCCCTCCATCCTTGCAGGTTAAGCAAAGCTTTTACAGAAGCACAGAAAAAGGAGAGTACTGCCCTCTCAGCAGCTTTTCTCGGAGACAGCAAATTCATGCAACACTGGGGAAACTCAGAGCCACGCTGGACCAAAGAGATTAACTGAGGTCACCGTCTTCAAAAGCTCTAGATGTCCTGAGGGTGGCCAAGCAACCTAAGTCAGCACCATAACATTCCTGATGAAGCTTTCCTAACCTCCTCTTGCTCCATCCTGCTGCATGCCAGGGAGAGAATGAAAACCCAAAATCACTAACCCGAGCACAGAAGGTCACTGAGAGAGTGCTGCTCGCCACAGCTTTCTGCTCCGACGGGAAGCTATCACATCGACCAGCGTGGTTCCTTGGCTTCATGTGACACTGCCACCGAAACCATCCCTTATTGAAGTACCATCTATTCTTCAAGTCTAGTTCTCCATATACAAGGATTTCATGATAAAAAGCTGCAACAACATACACAAACTGCCAGGAAACACTCATTTTACCTCTGAGGGAAGGCATCTTTTCATAGTTTGTCCTGATTATGATATCCAGTCAGTTTAGACAATTCCCAAGTGAAGTATTTTGGGTACCAACACAAAAGACAGAAGACTATTTGGTTTGTCACAAAATACTACGAAGGTCTAGAACATTAGTCTTGTGGATTTAACTACAACTGATGTTTGAGTTTGATAGCACATGGCAGTCTACATAATTACACTCTATTCAGTGTAGCTAGGAAGCTATTAAAAAGCTAAAAACCACTGCATGATTGATTTTAGAAACTTATTACCAAAAGGAGGAATTGAGGACAAGCATTTGGTAGAAAAAAAAAGAAAAAAACCCCACCAATCTTTTACATCTATGAATAATGGAAGTTTCAGTCACATTAACTAAAAAGGACACAAATCTTCTCTAGAGCATAAATCAAGGACTAGCTCAGGTTGGCTTTAAAAGAAGGGAGGCTGAGGGACACTATGTTGCAGGATAGAGGAGAGAAAAGTTAGTGTAAGGTAGAGGGAAACAGCAAGGGACTGAATAAAAGTGAAAATTATTTCATCATAGACATAACCTGTTTCAGCAGCAGGGGATTCCTGATAAATATCCATTTTAAGAAGTGGGATACCTAAGGTGCTTCAACAACACTAGAGCAGTCAAACATTAAGAGAGGTCCCTGAGGACAGCATGGTGGCACCACGCTCTGGAGACCAGACTGCTCTTGCCTAGCCCTAGAGAACTGTGTAGGTAACAGTGTCTTCCTGCTGCATCCATAAGAACTTTCTTTTATTAAAAAAATACAAAAAAGGCTTGCTAAACTCATCTGGAAGCATGCCTGACATCCAGCTTCCCTCCTCATTGAGATAAAAATCAATCTGGGAAAATCTAAATCTGGCATCACATGGATTAATGAGATAGGGATAGGAAAAGTCTGACAGAAGTTCAGACAATTAGTGCGGGTCAACCTTACTCACACTTCAGAGAGGAAAGCTCCAATCCTGACGCCCTCTCTGCCTGAGCCAGGACACATCCTTAGCCTGGAGAGGCCATCTAGTCCCACCCTGCTCGAAGCAGGGCCAAATCAGACGGTACCTGCAGGACCAGGCTCAAGAACAAATCTGTTCCCCGTGGAGCACCATAACAGGCCTTTAAGGAAAAAAGAAGGAAGGGTTCACTGAGAGCTGAAGTACGCTCCACCACGGCCAGGTACAGAGCACTGCCTGCCACAGGGAAGGGGGCTGGACCAGCTCAGCCCTACTTGCAGAGGCCAAGGCTTAGCTTAAAGCTGGGACACTGGGAGGAAAAAAAAAAAGGCAGAAAGAATTAATTAAATAACTACTGTGGCACAAAAGTCATCTTTTAACAGAATCACTTCGAATACCACCTCTTTAATGCATAACATACTTTAAAACTCTGCAAGACATGAAGGCACCAGGGGAACAGATCTATTAAGAGTTTTAAAAAATTGCTTTAAAGATTTTTTTTGGCTCTCCAGATAGCAATATATTTCAGAATAGTGTATTTATTCACATGGAGCTGTTCTGACTACTTGAATTTTCAAGGCTCAGTAAAAAACAGGAAAAAAAAATCTTCAGAGTACAACAAAGAAAACATGCCCTTCACTTGTTCTACTGGAGGGAAAACTAAAATCCAAATTACAAAACACCCTTTTGAGAACTGAATTCAGTCAGAATCCTACAGTTCAGAGTTTAAATGTCTGGGGAAAAAACCCTAAAGTACTCCAATCTTGCATTTCATGATTGCCATTCACCACCTCCTGTGCCATAGTGCTGAACAAGACAGCAGAACTCATCTGATCACAGAAGGAATATAATGAAATGGCGGAGTAAGGAATGTTGTTGGTTTTTAACTGACATTTATTACCATAAATTATTAATCAAGGTTCAAGTGCAATACAGGTCACATGTCCTGAATTAAAAAAGCCTGGGGAGCAGAAAAAACAAAACAAAAGGTAAATGCCTCTTAAATCTGTCCTTGATGTTTTTCAAATTTACAGTATCACTTTTTTGCTAACTAAACATTTACTTTTTTTTAATAGAGAGAACCCAGAAGGCAATACAAAACTGTCAACATAAATAATACCATTATCCACAACTTGAATCAAATCCAGCAAGTTAAATCAACTCTGCCAATTGTAGCCCATTTAAACCAAGCCAGTACTTGCAATTTGGCTGACAAAACTCCCCAACTGACTAACGGGAGATGCACTTACGCAGACGGTAAAAAAACCCAACCAAAAAACAGAAAGTTGGCATCACCAGTTTTTGAGTTAACAGTGTTTTAAGAACTGGTATATAAGGGAACTTGTAAGCCTGAAGGCATGTATTACTCTGTTTTATTCCAATTGCAACTAACACGGCCATAAAATTTTATGGCTAAATCTGTTACTGTCACCCAGGGGCAAGAAACAAGTAACAGTGATAACAGGTACTATGGTCAGGGCTATGCTAGGAAGATATACGCGACAGCTGAGCGTTGTTAAATCCAAGACAAAAAGTATGAGCAGCGTTTTACAGATTTTCAAATAGTGATCAAATAGTTAAGATTATAACAATATAAGATTAGACTCATTATAACCTCTGTGTAGGCTCTGAAGGTTCGTGTCCTGTCTAGAAGCTGGGGAGGGTTTTATCTTAAGTTCATCAATCGGTTTCCTCCAAAAGCCTGTCCAGGTCATTTCAGTAAATTATTCAGACACACATCATGGAGACAGTAAGGGCTTTACTTGCACAGAACAAGAAATCAATACCACTGTTGTGTCTATTAAAAAGACATACTCCTTTACAGGTGAGTTCATAAGACAATCTTTATCCCCAAACCTCTGGATTGAAGCCTACAAATGAAATGTGTGTTATTGCT